CACAGGCCGACCCTCTAGCCACTGAGCCAAACTGGTCAGGGCTGCATTGGTTGATTCTTGTATGTGCCCTGACTGGTGAATGAACCAGAAACCTTGGCATATCTGGACAGTGCTCTAACCAACTGAGCTACCTGGCCAGAGCTTAATTTTTAATCTATACATTTTAAAAGATTTGTAAATGGGGCCGAACCGGTTTGGCTCAATGGATAGAGCGTCGGCCTGCAGACTGAAGGGTCCCAGGTTCGATTCCGGTCAAGGGCATGTACCTTGGTTGCGGGCACATCCCCCGTAAGGGGCGTGCAGGAGGCAGTTGATCGATTTCTCTCATTGATGTTTCTAACCCTCTATCCCTCTCCCTTCTTCTCTGTAAAAAATCAATAAAATATATTTAAAAAAAACAAAAAAGAAGAAAATGGAATATGTAGGTTACGCAGCAATGCATATTTGAGAATAGTGGAATGACCCGGAGTCTTTTTTATGGAAATCAGACGACAAAAGGTGACCCTTTTTTTCAGAACAAATATTACTCTAAACTAGAGTATACTGCTTGTTGAGCAGAATTTCAGTCCTCCCTGGCCCCTTCAACTAGGTGTCCTTATGCAGTGAACAACCCGCAGCCCATACCTTATGCAGCAGATCTGGAAGGATCCTTTACACCAGTGGTTCTCAACTTGAGCCACCTATTGGAAAAACCTAGGGAGCTTTTTGAAAATACTCATGCCCAGGCCCCCACCTCAGAGATTTGGATTTAATTGGTCCTGAGGCATTGGTTTAATTTTAAAACTCCCCAGGTATTTCAATGCACAGCCTGGGTTGAGGATTACAACTTTGTATTTACTGATGTGAAACTCTAAACTCAGCTCTATTGAAAATGTGTTTGCACTATATAGGCAAGTATTGACATGCTGATGGGATTCACAGCACAGCCAAAATCTAGCACAATGCCAAGTACTGGCATTTCAACATTTACTGCCAGGAACCTCTGCCTTTACCACCCGCCCCCAGATGTCCAGGCAAGCTCCCTGACCTGTCTCCCTGAGGAGCGAGCGAATAGGCAGCTGAACCACGACACTGGAACTGCAACTCGAGATTGTGGGACTAGGAGTTCTGAAGTGAAGTCTGGGCTCAGCACAAGCCTGGTTGTGCGACCTTGAAAAAGTTACTTCACCGTCCCCTGCTTCAGTTACTTTGGTTATGAAATTAAACTAATGGTATGGACACATTTGCCAGAAATATAATGAGATTTAATGAGTAAAGTATTTGTAAAGTGCTTCATGAATATAAATTGTTGTGCAATTGTTAAGTAACTTCATGGTGTGAAATTCCATTGAAATATTTATTTTTTAAATGGCCCGTGATTTTTAAAAATATATATTTTTATTCATTCTAGAGAGGGAGAGGGAGAAACATCAATGATGAGAGAGAATCATTGACTGGCTGCCTCCTGCATGCCCCACACTGAGGATGGAGCCCACAACCTGGGCATGTGCCCTGACCAGAAATCTAACTAACCATTCATAGGTCGACTCTCCACCACTGAGACACCGAGCTGGGCTGGTCCCAATGATTCTGACACAGGTGGTTAGGAAGTTGTTTAGACAGATCTGCTCAGAGTTCTCTGGCCCCTGCTTTTTCCAAGTTTTGTTTGTTCAAGTCTTCTTGAGATTCTTAAACAATAGCCCCTGTTCTTTTAATAAATTACCTTTTCTCTTCCTTAAGCCAGCCAGTACTGGTTTCTGTTACTTGTAAACAAAAAGAATTTAAACTAATGCAATAAATCAGGATAGTATTTTTCAAATTGTATTCTATGGAAGGCTATGTTCTAAAATGTTAATGTTACTCTGGGCCAGGGTAACTCAGTCGGTTAGTATTGTTCTGATATAATACCAAGGTTGCAGGTTTGATCCCCCGTCAGGACACATACAAGAATCAACCAAATAAATCATAAGTGGAACAAAAAATTGATGTTTCAAAAAAAAATTGATGTTTCTCCCTAAAATCAATTAAAAAAAGATTAAAAAATAAAATATTCAAGTTTTGTACAAGAATAATGTTTAATATACTTTAATTTTTAAATCCTCAAATACCTTTCATATTAAAAACTATATTATGGGGGGAGAGATCAACCAAAGGACTTATATGCAAGCATATAGGCCTAACCAATGGACACAGACAACAGGGGGGTGAGCGCATGAGTGGGGGGGAGGGTTAGGGGTAATGTGGGGATAAGGACACATATGTAAAAACTTAATAAAGAAATAAAAAAACCCTATATTATGGTGATGAAAGGATATTTGACTGGGGGTGGTAAATACACAATACAATATACAGACAATGTATTGCAGAATTGTATACCCGAAACCTATATAATTGTATTAGCCAATGTCACCCCAATAAATTCAATTAAAAAAAAAGAAATATGTATCATGATTATACTTAATAAAATGCCTTTACAAAAGTGTTCTATGCCCAAGGCCAGCAAATTTCAGAAACTATTGTATTTGTAGTATAGTGGTCCTCAAACTTTAGTGCAAATTAGAATCACCTGGGGGAGCTTGTTAAAAGATTGCTGGGTCCCACCCTCAGTCTCAGCAAGTCTGTGATGAGAATTTCCATTTCTAACAAGTTTCCCAGATGCTGCTGGACCATGGATATTTGCTAGTCTTTTTTTTTTTTTTTTTAATGTATTTGATTTTTTTTACAGAGAGGAAGGAAGAGGGATAAAGAGTTAGAAATATCGGATCAGCTGCCTCCTACACATCCCCTACTGCGGATGTGCCCGCAACCAAGACCCTTGACCGGAATCAAACCTGGGACCCTTCAGTCCACAGGCTGACGCTCTATCCACTGAACCAAACCGGCCAGGGTAACATTTGCTAGTCTTAAATTAGGCTGCTCCAAAAATTATTTTACTTCTTTAAGAATTCATGTTACGATTCATCTTCATTTTATTTTATTTAAAATATATTTTATTGATTTTTTTCAGAGAGGAAGGGAGAGGGATAGAGAGTTAGAAACATCAATGAGAGAGAAACATCGACCAGCTGCCTCTTGCACACCTCCTACTGGGGATGTGCCCGCAACCAAGGTACATGCCCTTGACCGCAACCGAACCTGGAAACTTTCAGTCCGCAGGCTGACGCTCTATCCATGGAACCAAGCTCTATCCATGGAACCAAACCGGTTTGGCTTTTATTTATTTATTTATTTAATTTATTTTTAATAGATTTTTATTGATTTTTTACAGAGAGGGAGGGAGAGGGATAGAGTCAGCAACATCGATGAGAGAGAAACATTGATCAGCTGCCTCCTGTACACCCCCTACTGGGGATGTGCCCACAACCAAGGTACATGCCCTTGACCGGAATCAAACCTGGGACCCTTGAGTCCGCAGGCCTATGCTCTGTCCACTGAGCCAAACCAGTTAGGGCATCTTCATCTTCATTTTAAAGTTTTAACTTCTGCTTGCTTTACCCAATCTTATCATTAGACTTTTAGGGGATTTTGTATGCTTTTTTAATTTTAGTAAAAAAAAAAAAAAAAAAAAAAAAGAGCAAAATGATCCTGATTGTGTGGTTCAGTTGGTTGGAGCACTGAAAGGCTGCCAAAGGCTGCCAGTTCGTTTCTGGGATGGGGGAACAGGCCTAGGTTTTGGATTTGATCCCTGGTTGGGCGCACACAGGAGGCAACCTTCCCCTTTCTCTAAAATCAGTAAAAACATATCCTTGGGTGAAGATTTTTTAAAAGAGCAAAATGAAAGATGTTACTTGTTTCTTATGTCATTTGTAAACTTTCCAAATTTTGTACTGCTGTAAAATTTTCAAAAAGGCATGTGACCTTAGCATGGTCATTTCTTGTACTTTGTCTTGGAGATCATTTTGTTGTTGGCCACTTGAATTTCAGTACTTATACCTCAGGACTATTTATAAACTTTCCATCAGCAGCATCACGGGCAAGTGTTTTGAAAACTGCCATCTAGTGTCTTGTCTGCAAGATCAGGGTCATTGACTTGTCCAAGGTTTTATCATTCAATGGCCCTAAAGCCTTTGTGTACAAGTAATAATAGGGTCTTGCAACAAATTGTTCATAGTAATTCTGGGGCAAATGATCTAATGAATTGTTGAACTGAAAATGTCTTGCCGCCGAAACCAGTTTGGCTCAGTGGATAGAGCGTCGGCCTGCGGACTGAGAGGTCCCAGGTTCGATTCCGGTCAAGGGCATGTACCTGGGTTGCGGGCATATCCCCAGTGGGAGATGTGCAGGAGGCAGCTGATGGATGATTCTCTCTCATCGATGTTTCTAACTCTCTCTCTCTCTCTCCCTTCCTCTCTGTAAAAAATCAATAAGATATATATTTAAAAAAAAAAGAAAAAAAAGAAAAGAAAATGTCTTGCCAATGGCCCTAAAAATCACCTCAAAAATAACTTTTTTGGGGGCTTAGAGGAGTTATACTACTAGTTAAAAATCTATTTTGAATCAAGAGCAAGGTCGGGGGAGCAAAATATAACCTAGGATATAATTGTGATTCTCTGCTATTAATAGACTTGGATTAGAAATCAAAAACCCTAGATGCCAAATTTCAACTCTAATTTACTAACCGTAGGCAACACATCATTTCTAATTCCAGTTCTCTCCATCTGCACAAAAATAATTAGAACAAGGATAACTAGTTCATATGAAGAGTTCTCTAATCCATTTTATAAACGCAAAATGGACTGATGGTTCCTTGGATTGTACCTTTTAAGCAACTACTCATCTGTTTTCCAGGCTGCTCTTGACCTTGGGTTGGGGTTTACCCTTCAAGAAGCTTTCTCTGACTCAGACAGGGAAAGGGGCCTCTCCCTATGTCACACCCGCGCCCCACCCCCCCCCCGCTTCTCCCCACGTGACACAGCACTTATCCTGCTGTGCTTTGTCTGTAAGTGCAGATAACCTGTCTGATACATTTTAGCATTTAGTGTTCCCACCCCTCTCCAGACCGTAGAAGGCATTAGACACAGTTCACTGATCACAATTTATTATAATCTGCTGGCAGCACAGATATTAGTTACCAGAACTATGTCTTCATAGAAGTGGACAGTATGTAGCCATTCTATGGGGAACTGTGTGCACTTAATCATCACCATGATCTTTCAGTTTCTTGATGTTCTGCTTGTGCCGCTCAATTTCTTTCTGCAGACGCTCAATCTCCTTTTTGTGATGATTGATCTCTTCCTCATGGTGTTTCTTCAGGGCTGCCAGTTGTTCTTTAGTCCGCTCTCTACAAGTAAACAATGGCTCTGGGTTTAATCCTAATCCATCACCCCTAGGAGATCTTTAAGCATAACCTGCAATACCTAAGGCGAAGGAGTCCCAATCCCACGGGAGTCTGGCTGGTCATCCTCTTCTACCTCCTCAAGCCCCACTAGTGAAAGAATACTCCACCTTAACATGTACCCATCTTTAGGAAATGACCAAAATGATTCCATTTTTTCTGGTGCTAGTGCCTGAAATTACATCATTCATGAGCTACTCCCTTTACATTCCTCTTTAGAACAGAAAACTCCACAGAGGTGTGATGTATGTCCCAAGACATTATCAGAGGAATAACCAAGAGAACAGAATCCCTTTTTGGGGAAATGAGGAATAGACAAAGGGGTATAGTTAAAGGACAAATATTTGCAACCTATCCTGATTTACCTAGGGCTTTCTTGGCCTAGAGAAATGCATGGCCCACTGTAAAGGCCAAAAAGAAGTGGGGAAAGGGACCTATTGCATGGGCAGCACTTGGCAGTCCAGTTTAGAAACAATATAGCCCTGGCTGGGTGGCCCTGTTGGTTGGAATGTCGTCCTATACATCGAAAGGTTGCGGGACTGCTTCCTGGTCAGGGCACATATCTAGGTTGTGGGCTCGAACCTGTGTTGCAGTGTGTATGGGAGGCAACCAATCAATATTTTTCTCACTTTGATGTTTCTCTCTCTCTCTAAAAAACAAACAAAAAAACAATAAAAACATCTTCGGGTGAGGATAGAGAGAGAGAGAGAGAGAGAGAGAGAGAGAAAGAGAGAGAGAGAGCCTTCTACTAGCTGGTTTGGCTCAGTGGATAGAGTGTCAGCCTGCAGACTGAAGGGTCCCAGGTTTGGTTCTGGTCAAGGCCACATGCCAGGGTTTCCAGCTTGATCCCAAGTAGGGGGCATGCAGGAGGCAGCCGATCAATGATTCTCTCTCATCATAGATGTTTCTCTCTCTCTTCCTGTCTGAAATAAAAAAAAATATATTTAAAAATATATAGGAGCCCACTTAGGTGGTCTTTAAGGGCTGTACTTTGGATTTCTGGTATGGCAGGGGCCATGGTGATAATTCTTTTTTTTTTCCCTTTAAGAATAGTTTATTGATTTTTACAGAGAAAGAGGAAGGGAGAAGAGAGAAACATTCATGAAATGGAATCAGCAACCCTTCCGAGCATGGGTGAGGCTTAACCAACTGAGGCACAGCGGCCAGGGTCAAGGTGATAATTCTTAAGAGTGAGGAAGAGAAGGCAGAAGTGAAAAGATGGCCAAAGGAGAAGCAGAGATAAGTTCTATGCTATTCCTTACTGTGCAGAGAAGTCAGTAAAAGATAACTCAGGGTTGGTAAAAATGTAGAGGCCCAGGCCACTCCATACTCTTTTTTTTGTTAGTCCTCACCCGGGGATATTTTCCCATTGATTTTTAGGAAGAGTGGAAGAGAGAGAGAAAGAGAAACATCCATGTGTTGCCTCCTGCATGAACCGGACCAGGACCCTGGCGGGGAGGAACCTGCCCTTCCGGACCCGGTCTGCAAGCCAGTCGCTCTATCCACTAAGCCAAACCAGCTAGGGCCCACTCCATACTGTTTTTTAAAAATTTTTTAAAAAAAATTGATTTCAGAGAGGAAAAGAGATATGGAAACGTCAATGACAGAATCATTGATCGGCTGCCTCCTGCACAGCCCCCACTAGGGATAGAGCCCGTCACCTGAGCATGTGCCCTGACCCGAACGGTTACCTCCTGGTTTATAGGTGATGCCCAACCACTGAGCAACACCGGCGGGCCCCACTCCAGACTCTAAGAAAGTCATCCAGCTGGGCGGAGCCGGGCAAAAGCCTCCAGGAAATGAGGAAGGGAATTTCAAATCTGGAGCACTCAGCTCCTATATGACCCTCTCGCTCTGGCCAAGTTAGGCCTGTGGAGGTCGAGGAGTGGGTCTGAAGAGTCAGGGGATCCATCCTTCAGGGGCCAGCAAAGCTAAGGCGTGTGGAGGAGAAAACATCACAGAAGGATCCTGGGTGTTGGCGCAGGGAGCAAACTCGGAGGTTGGATCCAGACAATGCAAAGGCTCGGGGCGCTTCGCACGATCTGGGAAGAACTCCACGGGTGGGGATGGCAAACGATTCTGGAAGAATCGGGCCGTGGCTTGAGAGTAATGGAGAAGCGCAGGTGGAAATGGCTTGGACTGGGGGCCCTGGGACTACACAGCAGGGCACTAGGAGCAAGGGTGTCAGGGCTCCGGAACCAGGGGGCTCTGCGGGGGAGGGGGCGACCCGGCACCGGGGAGGGGCGGGGACGGCGACCGGCAGTGTCAGAAGGCCGGCGGGCTCTGCGAGTCCGAGGCTGGACTCCGCCCCGGGGCCTCACCGGAAGTATCGTTCCTCTTCAGCCTTCTCTCTTCTCGCGAAGCTCCCACCGGCTTCCCTGATGGCGCCCGAGTCGGTGCTGAAATTCGCTGACTGCGGAGAGAGACATGACATTGGGAAAGGTGTGGGGGGCGGGGGACGGCGTCCGCGCTCAGGGCGGGGGCAGCGGCCGCTGCCGCGGGCCTACCCGTCCGCAGCCGAAGCCTCCGGCTTGCATGGCCCGCACTCCCCACGCTCCGAGCCGCAGCCGCGCCGCCGTCGCCGGGACCGCCATGGTCGTCAGTGCCGCGCAGCTCCGGACGCAGACGGTGCGGGCTCCCGAGGCGCTAACGGCGCAGACGGCCGGCGACCAATCCTTTCCTCGGAGGGGCGGGATGAGCCCGGGAGCAGCGAATCATGGAAAGGAGAAGGCGGGGCGGGTGTGGTTCGCGGCGAATCCTGAGCAGGAGGCGGGCCTATTCGTAGCCAACCCCGAGCAAGGTCTCCTGGGCCAAACGATAGGAAAACAAGAATGGGAGGACGTTGGAGGCGAGTCCCCGGCGAGGGAGGGTCAGAAGCCATTATTAGATTGAAGCGAGGCGTCCACTCCCCACCCGACGATTCCAATCCCAAATTTATTATTGTTAAACACCCAAAGGAAACCTTCCCCTTCCTGGACCGCTAGGGTCAATCAGATACTAGACGAGCCTTGGCCGGTGGTTCAGTGGTTAGAGCGTAGGGCCCATGTACGCAAGGGTCACGTGTTCGATCCCCAGTCAAGGGAACAGGTACCTGGATTCAAGGTTGCACCCCCCGCCTTTGGGATGTTTCTCTCTCTCTCTCCCCCTCCCTTCCTCCCTCCCTTCTACTCTCACTCAAATCAATGGAAAAAATATCTTCTGGTGAGATTAACAACAATAGCAAAGATGCTATAAGAATAGTTAGATAAAAAAAGATTGGTAAGATGTTATAGGGATTGGAGTGGGGATATCTATGTCCAAGATAGCCCGACTTAGTTGGGTTGTGGGTAAAAATGTTATATATATATATACATATACATGTATATAGTCTCTTTTTTTCAAAAAATATATTTTATTGACTTTTTTTCTTAGAGGAAGGGAGAGGGATAGAGAGTTAGAAACATGGATGAGAGAGAAACGTCGATCAGCTGCCTCCTGCACACCCCCTACTGGGGATGTGCCCACAACCAAGGTACATGCCCTTGACCGGAATCGAACCTGGGACCCTTCAGTCTGCAGGACAACGCTCTATCCACTGAGCCAAACCAGTTAGGGCCATGTATATGGTCTCTTAAGAGGTATCAATGTTGTTTTGTTGCACTGACATTTCACTCTAAAGTCTCAGTTTAAATGTCACCTCAGAGAAATCATCCCTGATCTCCTTAGTCATTCTATCATAGCTCCCTGTTTTGTTCTTTCTCTCTCTTTGCACTTTTCACTTTCTGGAGTTATCAGAGTCGTGATCAAATAGGCATTAAATTAATATTTGTAAAATGAATTAATATGTTATCAAATGGTGTGGTGCAATGAAGAGAAGAGCATAAGTAGGAGTCTAGGGAAGGCTTTGCCTTGACATTCCTTCAGCCACGAACAATTATGAACAAGAAAATAGTAGTTTATAGTCTTTGCCTGCCTATGTCATATTTTCTCTCTGTTCTGTTTTTTTTGTCCTGTGGATGAGAGTTAGGCCAGATTACCTGTGTTACTCATGATTATAACACTTTTTTGTTTTCTATGAAATGGTAGAACTGTTTTTTTTAATCATCTTAAAAACTTTTTTTTTTTACATTTTTTTATTGATTTCAGGGAGGAAGGGAGCGGGAGAGAGAGATGGAAACATCAATGATGAGAGAGAATCATTGACTGGCTCCTCTTGCATGCCCCCTACTGGGGATCAAGCCCGCAACCCAGGCATGTGCCCTTGACCAGAATCGAACCTAGGACCTTTCAGTCCACAGGCCGGTGCTCTAGCCATTGAGCTAAACCAGCTAGGGCTATTAATCATCTTTTGGTTGGAAAAATGCCAGTCTTGTATGACTTGGGAGAATGGATGTTGGGGCACATTTTCAAATGTTCATTTCAGAAATTTTGGAAAAAGACAAAAGCAAGGTAGAAATAATAATCATTTGTAATTTCTACCTGGTGACAATAATTTGGTGTGTTTCTAGATGATCTTTAAATACCATTTCACTTTCAGAAACTCTTGTTTCTACTTCTCATATTGCTATTTCTTGACTATCTCCTAGGCTGGGCATCCAGTGGAGGGTCTTACAGAGTTTGTGTGAAAGATCCATCTAGGCCAGTAATGGCGAACCTTTTGAGCTCGGCGTGTCAGCATTTTGAAAAACCCTAACTTAACTCTGGTGCCGTGTCACATATAGACATTTTTTGATATTTGCAACCATAGTAAAACAAAGACTTATATTTTTGATATTTATTTTATATATTTAAATGCCATTTAACAAAGAAAAATCCACCCAAAAAATGAGTTTGCGTGTCACCTCTGACATGCATGTCATAGGTTTGCCATCACTGATCTAGGCACTAGGATGACTGTAATAAAAAAAAAAAAATGGAGAAATTGTAAAATTTCAACATTGCTGGTGGGAATATAAAATGTTTCAGCTGCTGTGGAAAACAACTTGGCAGTTGTTCAAAAGTTAAATATAGAATTTCCATATGACTCAGCAATTTCACCTTAGGTATTTGGTATATACACCCCCTAACCCCCTACCCCCAATAGAAAATTGGTACTCAAACGAATACATGTAGCTTCAGGTTCATAGCAGTACTATTATCACAATAGCCAAAAGTCAAAAGATGGAAACAACCCAAATGTACATCAACTGATGAATGAATAAACGAACTGTGGTATATACACACAGAACAGTGGAATATTATTCAACCATAAAAAGTAATGAAGTAATGAAACATGCAATACCTTAGAATGTGGTTCTCAACCTTCCTAATGCCGCAACCCTTTAATACAGTTCCTCATGTTGTGACCCAACCATAACATTATTTTCGTTGCTACTTCATAACTGTAATTTTGCTACTGTTATGAATCGTCATGTAAATATCTGATATGCAGGATGTATTTTCATTGTTCGCGACCCACAGGTTGAGAACCTTGAAAACATGCTAAGCTGAAAGAAGGCAGACACAATAGGTCACATATTGTATGGCTGCATTCATATGAAATGTCCAGAATATGTAAATCTATAGAGACAAAACATAGAATGGTTATCAGGGTTTGGGAAGTAAGGGGAATGGGAGAAACGGCTTAATTGGTGCCAGATAGCCTTTCTAAAGGCCAATGAGTTGTGCACTTTAAAACGGTTAACTGTATATCATGTGTGTTTCACCTTAATTTAAAAAAAAAAAAAAGGAGCCTTCAGTTAGCGGTGTCAGGCTGGGCTCCGAGCCCTTTAAGGGTCCCCAGGAAGGAGGCGAGGCCGGAGGTGGGGCTGGAAGCATCACGTGAAGCAGCGCCTGCGCAGAAGAGTCACGTGGTGGCTGGGCCCGGGGAAAATGGCGGCTTCTGGAGAGAGCGGGGCTTCGGCCGGCGGAGGCAGTACGGAGGAGGCGTTTATGACCTTCTACAGCGAGGTGAACCACGAGGGATGAGTAATGACACCCGGGCGACCCCTCCTGGGCCCACTCTCCCGCCGGCGGAGGCAGGGGTCCTCCTGGCCTGGACCGTTGCGCGGCTCCTCCGGTTTGGCCTTCGGGGCGGCGCGGGGCCGGGTGTGTGTGTGTGCGTCTCTCCCTGATGGCTGCTGGGGGCTCCCCTGGGCCACGAAAAAGGGGTCTGGGCCCAACGGCTGCGGGTAGACGGCGATTCTGGCCAATGAAGCCTCGGGGCGCGCGTGGAGTTGCCAAGTTGGCGGAGTGGGGGCCGGCCTTCCTGGGGGCGACTTAACCGTCCTGGCCCCCGTTTTTACTTGTAAACGGAAGCACTCTCTACGTAGTCCTCCGTCATGCATGGTATTAGTGGTTACTTCTGCCATTCGCGAATGCCAGGCACCATGCGTCATGCCAGGGAGGCATCTCCATGTTACAGATGACAAACCCGAGGTTTAGGGAGACGAAGGAATTTGTAACGGCTGGTGTCCTGTTAGGAGAGGAGTCAGTTGGGTCTGAGCTTCGTTTGCTATCGCATTTCCAGCACCTACTACCTACGGTGGTTCAGTAAGTATTTGTTGAGCAGGCTAATGAATGAGAAAATGAAGGAAAAGCGTACCATTTGGAGTCAGAGGCCCTCGGGTTGGATTCGTGCATGGCAGTTACTGAATTCTCTCAAGGCGGTGATTTTGCAGATCTCATTTCCACGTCTGTAAAACGAATTAATATTAAAACGAGTTTTTACGAGGGTTAATGGAGTGAGTATATAAGAAAGAGTTTCATAAGCAGCAGCGTCTCTCACGGCGGTTCTCAACCTGTGGGTCGCGACCCCTTTGGCGGTCCAACGACCCTTTCACAGGGGTCGCCTAAGACCATCCTGCATATCAGGTATTTACATGACGATTCATAACAGTAGCAACATTACAGTTACGAAGTAGCAACGGAAATAATGTTATGGTTGGGTCACAACATGAGGAACTGTGTTTACAGGGCCAGAAGGTTGAGAACCACTGCAAGACTTAAGGCTGCAGATGGAGCCCGTTAAGTTGGCATGGATTTGCGGGGCAGAGTTGCCTCTCACCAGGCTGTGAGCTACTCAGAGGGAAGCACCGGGTCACGCTCATCTTTTGTCTTTGCTCTTTGTAACAGTGTGTTACGTAGTAGTTTCTCCCAAGAATTACATTTAAAAACGGAAATTAGCGCATATAGTCTGTCCTTTTGAAAGCCTGATTCACGTGAAAGTGTTCAGCAATTATAATGGAACTTGTTTCACTTACCAACTCTTAGTTTAAAAAGAAAAGAAAACAAACAAACAAACCAGTTTTGGCTTGTTTGAATTAGATGAGAGAAAACTCGTAAAGGAGGACCCTTCAATCGTCAATGTGTAGTGAGCACCTGACATGTACCAGTGTGCTGTTTGTGTGTGGCAGTTACGGTAATGACCAGCAGAGAGAAAAGGCCTGTCTTCATTTCATTGAGCTTGCATTCTATAGAGAAGGATAAACAATAAACAGATATACAGTATAATGTCAGGTAGTGATTTAAGTGCTATGAGGAAACATAAGCCTGAGAAAGATGATGGGGGTGAGGAAGTGGCATGCTGTGTTAAAGAGAGTGAAGAGGGAAGATGCTGAGAAGGAACGGCTTCTTATGTTGTAGAAATGATTCCCAAAGTCATTTGATCAGAGGAATAAAGATGGTAAATAATATACCAGGCATTCATTTCAACCAGCATTCCAGTTCTGATAGTGGCACCAAAGATGTTTTCCTGGGACTTCCTGGTGCCTGTTCTTCTTCTAATTGTCTTCGGGCCAGGAATTTTTCTAACTCTGTTAGCGTTAGGTAGGCAGAGTTATTTGCTCTCTCCCACATACTTTTTTAATGCTGCCTTTGATATATATTGCAGTGTAATTGCATTTTTTTTTTCTTTTAAAAAGTTGTAAATTAAGTATGAACACACTTGAGTACATCTTCTATCGTTAGAGTGGAAACTGAAGGTGGTGGATGTGACTTTGAAATCTCTCAATGGTTGCTCTGGAATCAAACTGTTAAGATTAAAATTCTTATTTATAAGTTGGGTAATTGGGAACAACTCCGTTAACTTCTCTAAGTCTCAGTTTTCTTATCTGTAGAATGGGGATGATAGTATTTACTGTGTAGGATTGTTGAGAGGAATAAATACGTGTAAAGTTTTCATATTATTAAAATTCAGCAGATGGTAGCTGTTGTAATTATTCATCAGAATGGTTAGTAAAATAGCTTGCACATGTAGATACACAAATATTTGCTGGACATGTCAGTGAGTAACTAGTTAAGGTAACAATTCAGAATTTATTTTTAAACTTTACTAATGAAGTTTTTATCTCTTTTATTTTAGGTGAAACAAATAGAGAAAAGAGATTCAGTTCTAACATCCAAAAATCAGATTGAAAGATTGACCCGTCCTGGTTCCTCCTACTTCAATTTGAACCCATTTGAGGTGAGCAGTTTGATGTTGCTGTGGTGTCATGATGGGGAGCTTTGCATAGTTGCAGGCAGACTTACATCAGAACACACAACTAATTTGTATTATAGTTGGAATTGAACTGGGTGTTTTTATTGTGAGCAGAACCTGAGAGGTACCATGTTAAGGAAAAAGAGATAGTCTTTGCTCTATCAGATATTCTCCATCATCTTTAAGCAACCCAAATATATATGGGTTTATTTTCAGATGTAAAGGGATCACCAGCTTTGATAAATTTAGGATTTTCTGTTTACTTTGCTTGTTAAAATTTTCTGTTTCACCACAGTTTAAAAAAATATGAAAAATCCCAACAGCTAAAAAATGATCATAAGATTTTAGACAAGGAGATAGAGTTTTTTGGTTTCCTTAGTTTTATAACTTTAAACTTTTCCTTTTTATAAAAGTAAATCATATTTCTTATTAAAATTTGAAATATAAAGAAAGCAAGAATAAACAGTCATGTATAATTCTCCCTAAGAGAAATTCTAGCTACTCTTTACTGTTTATATTTAAACGTTTTAATAGTTTTATTTAAAAATAAGGAGTATCATATGGATACTTCATGCTACTTATTTATTCAAGCTATTTTAAATGCGTTGTTACATAAAATAGTTTTTGCAACATGTTAAAAGTCTCTATTATTTAAACAATTCTTTTATTGTACGATTTTTAAATTAGCTTCTACTTATTCACAGTTATAAATTGAAATGAATATTGTTAGCATAAAAATAACACTTACGGAGTACTTAAAAAAACCTCGTTATTGTGGTAAAAGATACATAATCTAAAAGTAACCATTTTAACCAGTTGTAGGTATAGAGTTAAGTGGCATTAAGTACGTTTACAGTGTTGTGCAAACCATCATCACCATTTCTAGAACTTTTTCATCATTTAAAACAGAAACCCCAAAACCATTAAACAATAACTCCTCATTCCTCCTAACCCCTGTACCTTGGTAACCTCTGTTCTGCTTTCTGTCTATGAATTTGCCTATTCTAGGTGCCTCAAATAGTGGAATCATACAACATTTGTTCTTTATACAAATGTTGGTGTAGTTCACTTATACTGTTTTCAAGGTTCATCCATTGTTTCTGTATTTTTTTTTTAATAGTTTCTTTCTTTTTAGACACATTTTTATTAATTTTAGAGAGGAAGGGAGAGGGAGAGAGAAACATCAATTGGCTGCCTCCCGCATGCCCCCTACTAGGGGTGGAGCCTGCACCTCAGACATGTGCCCGATGGGAATGGAACCAGTGATTTAACTGAGCCGCACTGGCCAGGGCATTGTGTCTGTTTTTCAAAGGCAGGAGCCACTGACTAGAATTGTCCCTATCTGGGGCCTATAGGGATTAGTGAGGAAGGGGCATGGAGACTGACTGATTGACTGACTCTGGCTGGCCTGGTCTGCACAGCCCCTGCCCAGCCATGTCTTGTGTTGGAGAGGGGAACCTATCTTAGCAAAGTCCCCAGGTAATTCCTCTCACTGGGGTCACAGCTACTTAGGTCCCACCCCTTGGTAGGAGCAGTGCCACCCTGCTTCCTCCTGTCACTGGCCCCAGAGTCTCTCCCTGAGTTACTAGTTGTCAGCAGAGAGAAGATCTTTTTCCTCCCCTCTCAGATCCTCCACCTTGAAGATATGTGAGGACCCATGTGTTCTGAGTGAGACAGTGCCTCCCACTTGCTCCCCAAGTCTTTGTTCTTTCCCACCCATCATTGTCCCCATTCTTAGTTCTAATAAAAGACAAAAAAAAAAGAAGAACATTTTTATTTTAAAATAATCTCAGATTTGCAGAAAGGTTGCAAGTACACTGTGAAGACGATTTCTTGAACTGTTTGCAACTTAGTTGGCAATACATTTTCCCATCATCCTGAAATATTTTATGCTCTTCCTACAAATAACATTTCCTACTGAACCACAGTATAACCATCTAAATCCTCAGACCACATTCAAATTTGTTCATTGTATCAATAATGACCTTTATAACAAAAAGATCCAGTTAAGAATCTCCTGTTACATTTAATTGTCATGGCTCTTTAATCTTCAGTCTGGAACAGTTCCTCAGTCTTTCCTTGACTTTTGTGATCTTGACATTTCTGAAGATTACAGGCCACTTATTTTGTAGCAAGTCTCTCAGCTTGAGTTTATCTGATATTTCTTCATGTTAGAATAGGATTATGCAATATTGGCAGGAATATCACAGAAGTGATACTGCATTCATGTCTTTGTAACTTAAAAAGTGGTACATGGGCCCTGACCGGTTTGGCCCAGTGGATAGAGCGTCAGCCTGCGGACTGAAGGGTCCCAGGTTCGATTCCGGTCAAGGGCATATGCCTTGGTTGCGGGCATATCCCCAGTGGGGGTTGTGCAGGAGGCAGCTGATGGATGTTTCTCTCTCATGGATGTTTCTAACTCTCTATCCCTCTCCCTTCCTCTCTGTAAAAAAAAAAATCAATAAAATATATTTTTAAAAAAAAGGGGTACATAGTTGCCTGGCTGGTGTGACGTAGTGTTTGAGCATCAACCCAAGCACCAAGAGGTTGCAGGTTCAATTTCTGATCAGGGCACATGCCCAGGTTATAGGCTCGATCCTCAGTGCGGGGTGTGCAGGAGGCAGCTGATCGATGTTGATTCTCTCCCATTGATGTTTCTATCTGTCCCTCTACCTTCCTCTCTCACAAAAATTAATAAAAACATATTTAAAAAAAATTGGTACATGATTTTGATTTATCCCATTACTATTCATGTTAACTTGATCACTTGAAGAGTTGCCTGCTTGCCCTGGCTGGTGTGCTAAGTGGTTATTGCTTTGGCCCATGCACCAAAGGGTCATGGGTTTGATTCCCTGTCAAGGGCATGTACCTGGGTTTCAGTTGCATGCAGGATGCAACCAGTCGATGTGCCTCTCTCCCCCCACCCCCATTCCTCCCTCCCTTCCACTTTCTCTGAAAAGCAGTGGGAAAAAAATATCCTCCCATGAGGATTAACAACAACAACAAAAAAGTTGCCTGATAGCCCTGGCTGGGGAGCGCAGTTGGTTAGTGTTGTTCTGATAATGCCAAGTGGTGAGTTCGATCCCCTGTCAGGGCACATAACAAGAAACAACCAATGAATTCATAAATAAGTGGAATAACAAATCTCTCAAGTCAATTAAAAAAATAAAAATAAGAGTTGCCTGCTAGGTTTTTTCATGAAGTTACTTTTTTTCCCTTTTTTGTAATAAGTATTTTATGGGGAAGTACTTTGAGATTGTATAAATATCCTGTCCTTAATCAGAGTTTCATTTTATTAATTTATTTGTCAGTATGAACTTGGGGTTTCTATATTAGTCACTGGGTTATATTTAGATATTTATTTTGATGCTCAAATTGTCCCAAATTTGGCTAATAGGTTACCTTTCAAGTGAGCTCCTGTCTTTTTAATATTCTTCATCATTCTTGGATTACTAAGCACTCTTGTACTTTTCCTGACCCAGCCTGAAATTAACTATTTCACAGAGGAGCCCTGGTTCATTTCAGTGAAGAATGGTATTTAAAATCAAGATTTGGCACTAGCCAGTTTGGCTCAGTGGATAGAGTGTCCGCCTGCGGACCGAAGGGCCCCGGGTTCGATTCCAGTTTGTGGGCTCGATCCCCAGTTGGTTGTGGGCTAATGGAGAGGCTGTTGCTGCAGGAACTCAGGGATGCAGTGAGAGTGCAGGTGGGGGAGTTTACGTGGAAGGAGGCCATGCACCTGCTGGGAAGCCACCACTCTCCACTCTCATTTCCTCTGATAAAAATCTCAGATCCAAGCAAGACGTATGTCATAAATAAATCCCTCCCTAAGAGTCAGTGAAGCGGTGCCATGTTGCTGAAGCTCTTCATGTGTTTTCTGCTGGCTATTGAAAACAGGCTTCACCCCTAGTAGGGGGCATGAGGGAGATTGCCGATCAATGATTCTCTCATCATTGATGTTTCTATTTCTCTCTCCCTCTCCCTTCCTCTCTGAAATATATATAAAGATTTGAATGGTAGGTGTACTCAATGCAATTGGGATTTCTCTCTCCCAGAATCTGTTGGTAGGTAGAGCTAAGGAGAGAGAGTGTATGTGTGTACATACATATTTACACCCAATTTTAATCCAACACCACGGTTTATTCTAGGTTTTTTCCCCTTCCATGTTTATATTTTCCTTCTCTAGTGAAAAATCTTTAATATGTATTTACTTAATTGACCCCCTACATGCAAATGATCTTCCATTACCATGCCTTCCCTTATGTGAATGCCCTCATCCCACTTTACTCTGACACCAGCACCTTGCTGCCTCACTGCACAACCATTCTCTCCACAACGGAGCTCAAAACTCCCACGCCAGGTCATCCTTCCATGCGGTATGTTCCTCACCTGATTCTGGTTCTCTGTGCCCACCCTCCACCCCCAGGGGCTCTTTTCATTCCTCTTAGGCTGCAGCATCCTCACTGCCAAACAGGCACCCTTTCTACCCTCTTCATCTTACTTGGGCTTTGAGTCCACACCCCTCTACATGGAGTCCCTCTTCACTCTGCTCAGATTCTAGCTCTCTGTGCCAGCCATACTTTACATAAATGCTCTCTACATCCTGCTGGAGCTCCAACATCTTGTATTGGGCAGCCCTTTTGCATTGGATGTCCTCCTGTATGGGCATCTCCCCTACCATGTCCAAGCTTCCACACATGCGAGGCCACTCCTTTGTGGAGATGGCCTTACCTGGACTCCGGTACCCTGTGCCAGACCGCCTTTCCTGTGGACATTCTTCTTACCCTGCTTGGTCTCAAACACCTGTATTGGGGTTTATTCAATGGCCGTGCCTCCATCTTTCCTCTTGAGCTCTCACCCTGCCCTGGGCCACTCTCCAGTGTTAACAGTCTCACCCTGCTTGTGTTCTAACACACTATGCCCGGGTGCCCTCCTTAGCCTACTTCGGCATTCCATGTTGGTCTGCTCTTCTATGTGAATGATCC